CGATGTCTTGGGCATCATTCTTTTTATTTACTTAAGCATTTATTTCCATCTGTTTTTTCAAACAATAATGTGTCTAAATTTCTTTGTGAGTCTTGTCAACTTGGAAAATAACACAAAGTTTCTTTTGCTCCTAGTTTTAATAAAAGTTTAGTTCATTTCTCATTAATACATTCTGATGTTTGGGATCCATATCATGTTGTGTCTGTGAAAGGTCATCGCTGGTTTGTTACATTTATTGATGATTTTTCTTGTACTACTTGGGTGTATCTCATGAAAGACAAGAGTGAGGTTTTCTTTGTGTTCCGCAATTTTCATAAGATGATTTGTACTCAATTTGAGGCCACTGTCAAAATATTCCGTTCTAATAATGGGGTTGAATACATAGATTCTGGGTTAAAGCAATATTTTTCTACTCATGGCATTATCCATCAGACCTCTTATACCAATACCCCTTAACAAATTGGGGTGGCGGAACGCAAGAATCACCATCTTCTTGACATGGCTTGGTGCATATGCTTTTCTATGAGTGTGCCTCGATCCTACTAGGGCGACGTTGTTCTCACCGCTGCTCATCTTATTAATCGTCTTCCCACCTAGGTCTTGAATAAACAAGCTTTTTTTCAAGTCTTCTTGGTTCCCAGTCCTTATTTTCTATTTCTCCCAAAATATTTGGTTGTGTTTGTTTTGTCCATAATCACTCTCCTACTCGTGGTAAGTCGGACCCTCGCTCCCTCAAATGTGTTTTCCTTTGATACTCTCCGACTCAAAAAGGGTATAAGTGTTACCACTCTCCTTCTCGTAAGTGGTTTGTGTCCATAAATGTCATATTCTTTGAGTTCCAGTCTTATTTTTTGTCCTCTTTGATGTCACAGTCCTCCCTTCAAGGAGAGCCTTGGTGTGAAGTGATTCTTGTGACTCCTATAGTGGAACCAATAATTCCTGTAATTCCTATGGTGGAACCAATTATTCTTGCACCGCCATCTCCTACTGGGATTGCAGAACCCAATGGCACCAAGGATAGGAAATGGCAAGTTTATGTCAGGGATAAAGATAGATAAAGAGTTAACTGAATACAAGAGACCACTTTTGCTCCTCCACTACTATCTCTTGCTTCTAATAAGAGTCCAGGTAACTTTGAATCTCTTGAGTCCGTTGATGTTGATGTTCTTATTGCCAAGAGAAAGGGTGTGAGATCTTGTACTCAACATCCTATCTCAAATTTTGTGTCTTACTCTCATTTGTTGTCCTCATATAGAGTGTTTATGTCAAATATTTCCTCTATTAGCATTCCTAACCATTTTCAGGATGCTCTTGCTACCTCTGAGTAAAAACATGCCATGATTGAGGAAATGAAAGCAATTAGGAAGAATGACACTTGGGAATTGACTGAGTTACCTAAAGGTAAACGACCTATGGGATGCAAATGGGTGTATATTGTGAAACACAGAGCAGATGGTTCTATTGAGCATTACAAGGCTAGACTTGTGGCAAAAGGGTTCACTCAAACATATGGCGTTGACTATCAGGAGACCTTTGCACCTGTGGCTAAGATGAATTCAGTCAGAATACTTCTCTCTCTAGCAGCTACTCTAGATTGGCCGCTTCATTAGTTTGATGTACAGAATGCCTTTCTCCATGGTGACCTCGAAGAAGAGGTATATATGGGCATTCCTCCTGGTTTTGAGGATCATCAGACAGAGGGTAAAGTATGTCGGCTTAGGAAGTCATTATATGGTCTCAAACAGTCTCCAAAGGCTTGGTTTGAGAGATTCACTTAGGCTATGCTTAAATATGGCTTCAAACAGAGTCAGGCAGATCACACATTGTTTGTGAAACATTCCTCACGTGGTAAGACTACAGCGCTCATTGTTTATGTGGATAACATAGTTCTTACGGGCGATGATAGTGAGGAAATACATCTGTTGAAGAAATATTTAGCAAGTGAGTTTGAAATCAAAGACTTGGGGAGCTTGAAGTATTTTCTGAAAATTGAGGTTGATCGCTCTAAGGATGGGATATTTATCTCACAGCGGAAGTATGTGCTTGACCAATTGAAGGAAACTGGGATGCTTGGTTACAAGGCCTGTGACACTCTATTGGAACCCAATCAGAAACTGGGGGATGATGAAAGAAGAGCAGCTGTTGATAGGAGAAGCTATCAACGTTTAGTATGAAAGGTCATCTACTTATCTCACTCTCGTTATGATATTGTTGTTGTTGTCAGTGTGGTTAGCCAGTTTATGCATGCTCCTCGTCAGATTCACTTCAAGGCTATCATGAGAATTTTGAGGTACTTGAAGTCTGCTCTTGGTAATGGTCTTTATTTTTTGAAGTATGATCATCTTCGTGTAGAAGCCTATACAGATGCTAACTGGGCTGGATCAATGACTAATAGGAGATCGACTTCAGGGTATTGCACCTTTGTTGGAGACAACTTGGTTACTTGGAGGAGTAAGAAACAGAATGTGGTTGCCAGGTCAAGTGCAGAAGCCGAGTTTAAAGCTATGGCACAAGGGGTGTGTGAGCTCTTATGGATCAAGTTATTGTTAAGTGATCTAGGTATTGATCAAACGAACTCCATGCGATTATACTGTGATAATAAGGCTATTATCAACATCGCCACAATCCGGTTCAATATAACAGGACAAAGCATGTTGAGATTGATCGCCACTTCATTAAGGAGAAACTTACTGGTGGCACAATATGTACTCCCTTTGTGCGGTCTGGTGAACAACTTGCTTACATCCTCACCAAGGGAGTTGGGAGTAAGCCATTTCATGACACCTTAGGCGAGCTGGGCATGAGAGATATCTCCGCACTAGTTTGAGGGGGAGTGTTAGAATAATATATTATTATTTGGGTTATTATTCTGTAATTATTTTATGCCTTAGGGCTCCCTTGTAATTATTAATCTTCATTAATATATATAGGGGATGATATTCTAATCATTCCCTAATATGATATTCTCTCAAAAATAACATCATCAATTGCCAACGCCAAACTCGAGTTTTCAGCATTATCTTTTCTTCGGGTGTCTTTACTCAAAACCAAACCCACTACATGATCCATACTCAAATTTGTAAAACCATTGGAATTGCTCATTACAACAACCAGAGAATTCCAACTCTTAGGAAGACTTGGCAGCAGTGCCATGGCCTTGACTTCTTCATCAAACGAGATACTAACCGATTCCAATTGACTAATTAGTGAGTTGAAATCGTTAATATGCTCAATCGCGACTCCTCCTTCGGACATCTTCAAGTTGAACAACTTCTTGATCAGATGGACTTTGTTCGTGGCTGAGGGCTTCTCATACATCCATGACAGAGTAGCCATCAAATCTTCGATTTTCTTTTCGTTGTGAATATTAAACGCAATTGATGCAGCAAGGGATAATCTCACCGTACCCATGACTTTTCGGTCAAGTAACTTCTATTCACTGGTCTTCATTGTTTTTGGCTCTTTCGACACTCCTATAAGAGGAAGATAAAGGTCCTCCTGATAGAGAGACAATCCTTTATCTGCATCTTCCACAATCCGAAGTTTGAACTGCTGAATTTTTCGATCTTCACTTTGCCCTCGTCTGCCATTGTTCTTGCTCTAAGAACCAATGTCTTATACTACTTGTTATGGTATATATGATTAATACCAAACTCTAGAAATTGAGTAAACAATCATGCACACAACGAATCTAGAATGGAGAAGTAAAAGAAACTAGAAAAACATATTCACAAAGCAACACAAGAAATTTACGCGGTTCACCCAAATTACGGGCTACGTCCACTAAGTCACAGTGAATTTTAACAAGTTCAATATGAAAAGAGTCACAAGAGTCTCTCACACTCAATCTCACAAACTCTCTACAATGATCTCTCACTCTCATTATTGTGTATCAATCTCTAAGATCACAAAACTAATGAATGAATTAAAAACATAGAGCTACCTAGGTTTATTTATAAAGCTAGCCTTAAACCCAATCCTAAATTAATAAGGAAATCAAAACCTAAACTAAGAAGGAAAAATCTCAACCAACAAGGAAATAGTTTATAGTCCAGATCTAACCAAACACCAATTTCCTTCTTTTCTTTTCCTAATCTAATTAGGTTTAATCTTCTTTCAAGCTCCACCAATAACGTGTGATATTCCCAAATCCTTCAAACTTGATTTAGGCTATGGAAACCCTTGAGAAATTAGAGTGGAAACTCCTTGGAGGCCAAAAAGGTTTGTATATGGCAAGATCTACGGGCACTTTCAAAATGTTTGTCCTTCCTCTTCAAACCTTACTAGCACGGCAAGACAAGAATCGAGGAAAAAATAACTGGTGAATAGAGGTTCTACAAGTGATTGGGTGGAGGTTCCTACCACTAGAGATGTCGATAAAAATACTCCAGTTCATGAAGGTTAATATGGCCAAAAATGGCACCCCAACCAGGAGCACAAACATGTTTAGTGTGCAGGACTCTTGTTTGTCTATGCTTGAATGCAAAGACAAAGCCCTTCTAAGCCAAAGAGAATAAAAGGAAACTCGAACAACATATGCATGACGTGAACATGACTCGTGAGAAAAGCCCTCAACATATGCATTTAAGTATATTGCTCTTAAGGGCTTTTATTGAACTTTAGTATATATCCTTTCTTTTTTGGTAACAAACACACAAATGCAGTTCAAGAAACATTAATCAAAACTGGGAGAGTATCCTTTCAGTATACGCACATGTACTGACAAAAGAAAATTAATAAATTATATACCCATATATGTAAGGAAAAACACCAGACCAAACCTCCTCCTCGCCAACTTAGACATTCACTCATCTGGAAAAAAAAATCAGCAAATTAACCGGATTCATATTCAAAAAAAGAATATTAGTGGTAAAATACATCCCATTAGGTGATATTGATATGGGATTCAAAGCACCATACTATACACCATAAAGCGCATAGAAAATAAAAATAAAAAAAAAAATCCACCCATACATAATTCAAAGATCGGATATCCACCCCCCCCCCCCACGTAATATCTGTGAAGGCCACCATTTGAGTTTTCAGGCAATGACTGATCGCCAAATTGGAGTAATCTGAGCAGCAGAATTTGTGGACGTGTAAGATGGCCTGTTCTCACCATTTCATATTGACTAGGGATTGGATGAAAGGCCTGAGATCCTTGGCAATCCAGAGGTAGCAGCAGCAGCAGCAGCACCCAAGCTTGAACCCCGTGAAGACACATCAGCTTCAACCTCATCAAGTGTCTATCATAGAAAAAACAAACAATTATTTCAGTCCCGTAAAAAAACCAATAGGTCCACTTGAGATAACATATTTAATGAAATAGAATGAGTTCCATAGATATACATAAAAGCTAATGTGTACAACATTAAGCAAAGGTAGATGATGGGACACTAGCTTAAGCTCTTCATGGCTCACATATCATACTGATGTTAATGGATGCGTACTTCTGAATCGACTAGACCTATCTTTTGTTTCTTTTCTTCTTTTTTTCATATTTTTTTTTTTTAATTTGTTTTTTTTTTTTTTTTTGTTGACTCACCTGAACAGCTTGTTGCAGGACATGGTACACTTCTCTTGTCTGTTTTCTCTTCATGACAACATCATCTTCCTCCTGCAACATCTCTTCAAAAAGGCTCTCTCTGTGGACACCAAAGAAGAAGGAAAAAAAAAAGCTCAGAAATATCAAACCTTTAAGTTAATTCAACAAACAGAGGACATCAGTGACCCATTACTGGCAACATCTCTTCAAAAAGGCTCTCTCTGTGGACACCAAAGAAGAAGGAAAAAAAAAAGCTCAGAAATATCAAACCTTTAAGTTAATTCAACAAACAGAGGACATCAGTGACCCATTACTGGCAATTCATATTCCATCCTGGGGTGCATGGCGGTATTGTGTGCCACAAAGTTATGTTTTCATAATCAGAAACAGTCAGATGATATAGTTTAAAACATTACTGCATTTTTACCTAATTCATGCAAACACCTTAGCAATTTTTAACATTCAAATTATTAGAATCATTGCATAGTTTTAATTTTTTTTATTAAATTTATTAAGCACCAATCAGTCAAATCATCTCGAAATAGGGCTATAAACAGGCTCAGCCAAATGTCCACAACCAGGGGTGTGCACGGGTAGGTGCAGAGGTTTAGGGAAAAAATATCAATCAAACCGCCAATGGCTGATAGAATTATTTTCCAACTACAACCAAACCATGGTTCACAAAAACCATCGGGCCGGTTTCAACTTGGCGGGTTGGGCACGTAGTTTGGTATGATGTGGTGGTGGTGGTAGTAGGGTTGGGGTTGGGGTTGGGGTTGTGGTGGCGGTGATAAGCGGGGGTAATATGTAGCAGTACTGTGTTGGTGGTTGGCAGTGGTAATAGATGATGGTCGTAAGGTGGTGGTTGTGGTTGCAGCAACAACATTAGTAATGATGGTGGTGATAGGTGGTGATGGCAATAGTAGTGTGACACCTCTGTTCCGTAGTATGTTAATTGGTCCTTAACATGATGTGATTATGCCGGTTACGTCCTTAACCCACGGGGGCGGGTTCGGGTCGTGACAAGTAGGGTAGTGGCGGCAGCGGCGGCGGCGGTAGGCGGGGGTGGTTGCAGCGGTGACGGTAGTGGTATGGTAGTAGTTGTCGCAGCGATTGTGGGGGTGGCTGCAGCAGCAACGACAGTGGTATAATAGTGGTTGTCGTAGCGATTGTGGCGTGGGTGGTGATAGGTGGTGGTAATAGGTGGTGGTGGCAATAGTAGATTGGTGGTGGTAGCATTGTGCTGATGGTAGGTCAGTGGCAGTGGGCAGTGGTAATAGGTGGTGGTGGTAGGATGGTAGTTATGGCGGTGGTAAGGTAGTGGTTGTGGTGGCGGTAGGATGGTGGTAGGGTAGTGGCAGTGGCATCGATGGTAGGGTGATAGAAGAGGGGTGGCAGTGACGAAGGCAGTAATAGATGTTGGTAGTATCCAACATACTAATAAACACTTGTTAAAGGATGATTCCATGATGCAATGAAATGCCTATTCCTTAGCTTTGAGGAAGGAATAGATATTCACCCTTTTTGTTAGAATGACCATTCCAATGGAATGGCTATTCCCCCTTACATATGGTGTACCTAACATGAGAAAGGGAATGTAAAGCTGGAATGGGCATTCCGTTCCAGCCCATTTCATCATACAAAACATGCTCTTAAACTTACAACCTAATTCAACCAAACTCAACTCAAACAGAGATTTAGATTGTGCTTGGATCATAAATTTTGGTAGAAATTTAAGAAAGAAGGAAAAAGTGAGGGAATTGGAGAAAACAAATTTAACTTATATTTTATTCACATTTTCCTCCCTTTCCAAATCCCTACGCAGATCTATGATTCAAACACAGCCTTAAAAAAAGAATCTGCATAAACAGATATTAAATTTTTTTTGCACATACGTTAAGATTAAACTGCTGACAATAAAACATAAAAGACATAGAAAGCATTACCAAAAACAGAAAAAACAATCAAACAGCATACAAAAAGTAAATGTAAAGGAAACAAAAATGGTTTATCTATATACAGAAAAAATGAAAACATGGGGAACCAGTAAACACAGACAAGAAAAGCAAATCGTTTTTAAAGCATTATTATAAATTACAAAAAAATGGGGAAGCAGCAGAAGATGGGAGGAGACTTGGGGCGGATAGTGGAGGGGAAGTGCAGTGGGCGCCAGTAGGGGAAGAGAGGTGACTCCGGTGATGGTGGAGGGGAGTAGACATGGGAAAGAAGGTTGATGAGGATCTGAGAGAGAGAGAGAGAGAGAGAGATGATCTCAGAGAGAAAACTGAATATTAACTGAGGGCTATGGTGACCAGTCTTCTGTTGTGTTTATCAATCGTTGCCTCCTTGGAGTCTTAGAAGTTAGATCCTTTGAAGTGTTGAAACCATGGAGGACTTTGGAAGCACCAGCCGGTGATGAATGAGTGAGAGTGAGAGTGAGAGTGAAAGAGAATGGGGATAGAGAAGAGAGAACTCAGAGAAGACTGATAGCTGAGAGGAGAGGGACTGCATCACTCCGGCGCTTTGTTTCTTGACTAGAATGATTGATTGAAATGAATGGAGTGGTGTTCTTACTTTTTAGAGAAGGTTATTTGTGGAGATTGATTGAGTGTGGTGGGATGCACAAACCTATTATAAAATACTTAAAATAATAGTGTGTCGGTTTGGGTTATTGGCAGGTTAAACATTTCTGAACCACCTACAAACTGGGACCACTCCTAAAAATGTTTGCACATCTGCCAACCCTCTCAACCCGCATGGTTCAGGGCCGTTCGGGACGGGTTTGGCAGTGTTTTGCAGAGCCCTATTAACCACCTAGAGCTCAATGACTGAACTTCTGGACAATAACCTAAAACACTATTTCCAAAATATAAAGGACCTTTGAATGTCACAGCATATTCAATTTTTTTTATTCCAATAATTTTTTTTAAATACCTATTTCCACTGCCATTTGGCTGCTTCCATAGCCTCATACACAGCCCTATAAATGAAGAACAAGCTAATGACACTCTGGAATCATCGAAAATGGCTGTAGCAATAACAATTATCCCAAAATATAACAACAATAATAAGCACGTAAATGAAAGCTATATAAGAAGGCTATTGTTGGGAATGGTGGAACATGACAATATCATTGTTCATAAGCCATCAGTTGCAAACAGCCTTACTCAGTGCATCTTATATACCAAGCAAGCAGACATTCCAAGCGTACTTTTATTCCACTTAAAACACCAATCAAGGCAGGGGACAAGATTAACAGGTCAGCTGCACAATGAGTAACTCAGGTCAAACTAAGAGATCATAGAAATTACAATATCTTGAAACATGCCCATCTCAAACACCCAACAGACTCATTTTAGCCTGCAATTATATTACTAAAAGAAGGCAGGTATAACGCATGTCCAGTGTTATCCCATGTTTGTGTGCCTTAGAAAAGCCGCAGTTTCAATTAAAATGGAATATTTCAACATAACATATGGGAAAAGTTAATCCTAGCAATATCAAATCAAAACCTCTCATAACACGGGCTTTCTCAATTTCTCTCTCCACGAAGTATGTAAAAGGGATGTTATAGGAAAAATAATTAATTTCTTAGGGTTAAGATTAGCGATAGGTTGGCAATTTTATGACTTTGTAAGATTTCTGAATAATTTTCTGTATATTCAATCGTATATATTTACAAAGAGCTCATCAATTTATATAACCCTAAACCTATGACTGAAAAAGGAAGTACAGCTGATTCAAATATTTACACCACAATCTTTCCTAATTCCTAATTCCTAATTCCTAATATACACAATCATGCCAAATTGAGAAGATACACAACATATTCTCACACCCCCGCTCAAACTCAATGTGTTTTAGCAGAAAACACTGAGAGTGAGCGGTAGTGTGAGTCTTGGTGAAGAAGTCCACAAGTTGCAAAGCCGAAGAGACAAAAGAAAGTGAGATAGGGCTAGATCGCAGATGCTGTCGGACAAAATGACAATCAATCTCAATGTGTTTCGTTCGTTCATGGAAGACAGTATTATGGACAATCTAAATAGCACTGCTGTTGTCACAATAGAGAGAGGTCAGAGAAGATTGAGGGACACCTAAATCAGGTAAGAAACAACGAAGCCAAATAATCCTAGCAGTAGCATAAGCCATAGCACGGTACTCAGCTTCGGTAGTAAAGCGAGCAACAACAGTTTGTTTCTTGCCTTTCCAAAAGATCAAGGGATCGCCAAGAAACATATAGAAACCAGACGTAGACTTGCGATTAGTAACATTACCAGCCCAATCAGAATCAGCATAAACCACCAAATCCAGAGAGGAAGTAGAGGACAATAGTAAACCCTGAAATATAGTACCTTGGAGATAGAGAAGAATCCGAACCAATGCAATCCAATGTGTGGAGCGAAGAGCAGAAACAAACTGGCTAGCCATATGAACAACATAGGCAAGATCAGGACGAGTAATCGTCGGATAAACTAAACAACCCACAAGCTCGCGATATAAAGTGGGATCATCTAGAGGCCCCGTTTGTTTTGGGGTATGAGAGGGGGATTGGGATTAAGATAGCTGTGGGCCCCATTTAATGTGCTGTTTGTTTACAGAGTTGAGGAAGGGACTGCTAAGCCGAAGGGCTTAGGATAGGCCTTACAGATGGGATTAGAATGGGCCTCCAGGACTTGGTATTAGAAAAATAGTCCAGCGGACTAGAAATTTTTTATTTTTATTTATTTTTTATTTTATTTTTTACATGTCGAGAATTTTTTTTTTTGAACATCAATGTTTAATTTTTTGTATTTTTTGTTAAGTAAAAATCATTATTTTATTTATTTTATTTTTTTCTGAAATTTTTTTATTTTATTTTTATTTTTTAAAAATTTTTTAGATGTTGGGCATTTTTTTTAAAACATTAATGTTTAATGTTTTTGTATTTTTTATTTGTGTTATTATTTTATATAAAAATAATTTAACAATCCCTACACTAACAGCTATCATCAAAACAAACACAATTTTACTTAATCCCCTCACTATCAATCCACTCACTATCAATCCCCTCCATTCTACCTCTAAAAACAAACGGGGCCAGAGGGACACCATCAGTAGAGT